CGGATAGTGAATTCAACGCACACAATAATGTGAACGAAGGACCAAGTTCATCATATTATGATGTGGATGTGTTAGGCACTAGATTTTAAGAAGTGCTCAAAAGTGCGGATCAGCCTTTTATATTATGATTGTTATGATCATTCCCAATTATTAGCAGTTTCTGAATTTCTTAACATAAAGTTAGAATATAACCTATCTGAGAGATGCATGTCCAAAATATTAGACTCAGTTGGTAGTATGTTACCTCGTGACCATTGTCTTCCCGATACTTACTACAACATGAAAAAGTTTGTTTCTGAGTTAGGTCTCCCTATGATAAAAATCCATGCATGCCCTGGAGGTTGTATGTTTTTTTGGAAGAACGACGAAACATTGATCCGGTGTAAGTTTTGTAATGCGGATAGGTACAAGCCCATATCAGGTATGGGTCGAAAAGCACGAAAAATATCTGCAGCATCTAAGTTGATATATCTTCCTTTAGCACCACGTTTGCAGAGATTAATGGCTACAAATATCATACACGGGCTTATGGAGACAATAAACCCACTATGAACAATGGTGTGAGCGTGTCGGCTTGTAGTTATGACAATTCAGAGACTAGTTTTTTGGGTATGTGGATGAAATACTGGAAATGAAATTCACTGGCCACAACAAGTTATCGTGTGTATTATTCAAATGCACTTGGGTGGATCCAGTGAGGGAGGTGAAAAAGGATCACAAACATAACTTGGTGGATGTTAATTACAGACGTGTGTATCCGAAAAATGAACTTTTCATATTAGCTCAACAGGCTGCCCAAGTGTATTACGCGGAATATCCGTCGACACGTATCAATCGCACTGGCTGGGTAAGTGCATGCACAATTAGACCGAGAAAAGTTGTTTCTCACGCGGTACAAAAAAACATTGACATTGATTTTTACCAACAAGAGTTTTTTCAACCCCCAGTTCTAGATATTATTGAGGAGGATATTTTTTTGAATGATTGTACTGGAGCAGAAATAGAGTTTGACCCTAACGATACCAACGATGATCCGAACGAGGGAACTCAATATGAAGAAGAAGAATGGAACTTTCAAACAGAAGATACTGATGATGATGATGAGTACATTGACCATATTGAATCCGAAGATGAAGAAGAATGAATTGTTTTATTTTTATAAAATATTGTTTCATTACAGAATTTTATTTCAACATTTTTATTTCTTATCATGACTGTTTCCGAATAATTCAATTTCTAATCTAGACTGTTTCTGAGTTATTTTAAAATGCAATTTGGTAGATAATTTCTCGTCTATTTAATCAAATTAAAATCTTTAAATGCACATCTATATGCCAAGCAACTGTACATGTTTTTACTTGGGCTAAGTTGAAAAAACAATTTCAATAAAAAACGCAAAAATAGACTAAAATTACTGAAAACTCAAACGATACACGATAATAAGAATTACATAAGCAAACCATACATGATAATGATAATAATAGTACATAGTAAAATGATACACTTATTTGATTCTTCATAGTGCCTTCCTACCATCATCTTCACTTTTAGCCTTGACTTCAGAATCTTCACTTTTAGCCTTCACTTCACTTCCCCATTTCCATAATTGATTAATTTTTTCAGCTGCATCATCATCAACGGGCTTCATTAACTTAAGTATTTCCCCTATCTTATCAATTTTTTCCCAACTTATCAAAATCACATCCCCATATTTTGTTATCACTTGAACCTTCAGATTTTTCCATAATAAAGCTTTTTCTAATTTCAAACTTTTTAACTATTTTTACACTATTATATCAAGCCATATTTATAGTAGAAGCTGAACAATTGGCAAGGACTTGGATGGGATAATTCCATCTCAAACCCTTAATTCCGCTGCAATGTACGCAATAGGCACGGAATAATCCTTGCCAAATCCGAGCCACGTCCCGTCTGACATAATAATTACTGACTGCACAGTGTTTCAGATGACTTCTTAGAATGGATTTGGCACTGTGCTTGCGACGGATATTGCCGACCCTATTCAAAATTTAAATTATTCTTCCCCGCTCGTTTTTTTTGCGCGCAATTGGCATGGATTTGTCCGAGCCAACTCGCAGCCACGAGCGAACACTAATCCGGAAGAGTCTAGAATGGTTTTGGCAGTCCTATTGCGACGGATATATCCGAGCCAACACCAGAAGTTTATAAACTGTCCTTAGTGCTTTTCGTGCAAACCCTAGCTTATTCTTCAGCATCCCCTCTGTTTCAAGCCGCCTCCGATCCGAAGCACTCTCCGCTCTGTACATACCACATACCCCCGTCACCACCTACTCCGGCCACCTACTCCGGTCACTACTTACTCTGCCTCCCCTCTGCTTCAAACCGCCTCCGAAGCTTGCCGTGTTTCAAGCCACTCCGACACTTGCAGTGTTTCAAGCCGCTGCGACGCTTGCACACGCTTTCAGCCGGCCATTGTCTTCTCTCTGTTTGCAGGTATTTTTTAAATACTTTATTAGTTACGGTTTTTCAGCTTAACTGTTATAAACATATGTTATTTTTGACAGATTGTGAGTTATGATGTTGATTAAGTCTTTTTTGTGTTTTCATAGAAAGTACGAGTGGGATGTCTGCTCTAATACTAAAATGAAAAAGAAGTTCAAGTCTCGGGCCTCTGAATGGTTGAGCAAAAATATTGGCAGAGCTAGGCGGGACAACAAGAAGCCGGACTGGATTGGAGATGGAGATTGGAAGGTGTTGCAAGAATATTGGGCCTCTGATGCTTTTAAGAAAAAGAGTCATGCTGGAAAGAAGAACATGAACTCTAAAGCGGGAAAGGAATCACAATATCGCGGTGGCAGGATACCGGTGACTACACATGTTGAAAGGCTGGTGAGTTTAATTGAACTGTACTGTAGTTTTATGAACTGGATTTTACCTTTTAATGAACTCCTAACTTTAATTTTGTAGGCGAAGGAGTTGAATAGGCCCCCTTGAAGATTGAAGTGTTTGACAAGATTTATGTCCCGAAATCAGGTGAACCCCCAACACGAGTAGTTGAAACGAAGGTAAATTATATATATGAGTTTGTTTTCATATTACTATAAGGAGTATATGTCTTGGTAATCTAGAATGAATATATTTGAACCTCCTGTCTTCTGATTGTGCAGCAAAAGTACAATGAGATGAAAGCCCAGACTGAATCGCAAGGGAAGTCGTACGAAGAGGATGATTCTGAGTTGTTTTGCACGGTGGTCCCGCTGTACAAAGGCAGGCGTTTTGGGACGGGATCTGAAGTTGAAGCGATGTCTGACCTTGAATGTACCAGCAGGATATCGGGGCCGACTAAGATGGAAATTGATTTCCGCATCAAGAACCAGCTGGAAGCCCGTTTTGCGCAGCAGGAAAAGCAGTGACAAACTCAGATGACGAACATGACTTCTGCGCTTACGGCGTACATGGAGCAAGTGCGTAGCTCAAACCCTTTTGTCCCGCTGCCTGATTTCTCGCCTTTTCGTACCCCGACCTCCGCCCAAATGAATCTGCTACATGATTCCAATGAACTGAGACTGTCTGATCTACTTGTATAATGAACAAACACTTTAAATTTCTGTACTGGTTCTGGACATCTTCTGGCAATTTATTTGCCATTTCTACTTCTATTTTGGCAGTGGTTTATCTGCTTGGACTGCTGTAACATAATAATGTTCTGTTAATTTGTGCTCTTTCATTTGCTTTATAATTTGCAGGCGTGGTTCTACAATTTGCATGTGTAGTACATACTCTATAATGTTTATCTTTTTGGACTGCAGTAGTATATGATTCCAGTTAAATGTTTTCTTTATAATGATTTGTAAAAAAAAATTGTACACCGTACATATGTACGGAATACCGTACATATGTACGGTATACAGTTTTATTTTTAAATTAATTTTGGCACGGATTACGTTCGTACCAAAATCCCGAATGAATATTGGTAAAATATTTGGCACGAACTTATCCGAGCCAACAAACGGGTAAAGATTTGGCTTACCCGGTTTATTCCGCGCCAATATCCGTGCCAAGCTAAATCCGAGCCAAACTTTTGGGTTAGTAATCTGTGTTTTTGTCTCTGAAATTTCGTGCCCAATGTCGAGACAAGAGTTGGCGCGGATGATGTTTTCCGTGCCAAAGCATTTGGCACGAGCCAGGTGCGTCGGATTTCATATCCGCGCCTAATCCGAGCCAAAAGCGATAGTCTGGGATTTTTGTGAAGCGATCTGTGCCAAAATCCAACCCAATGGCGATTTTTTTTGATAGTGTAATAATAATAATAATAATAATAATAATAATAATAATAATAATAATAATAATTAGGGGTGTGCACTATACGGTTTAAACCGGAAAACCGGACCGAACCGGATCGAAAAAACCGGAACCGGATCGAACCGGAATGATATCCGGTCCGGTTCGGTACGGTCCGGTCCGGTTTTGAACCGATGCACACCCCTAATAATAATAATAATAGTAATAATTAGGGGTGTGCACTAGCCGGTTTAAACCGGAAAACCAGACCAAACCGGACCGAAAAAACCGGAACCAGATCGAACCGGAATAATATCCGGTCCGGTTCGGTCTGGTTTTGAACCGGTGCACACCCCTAATAATAATACGGAGTAATAATAATAAAATAATAATAATAATAATAATAATAATAATAATTAGGGGTGTGTACTATCCGGTTTAAACCGGAAAACTGGATCAAACCGGATCGGAATATCTTCTCATCCAGTTTATAAATTATAGGAATCTACTTATAGCCGGTCATGTCAGACCATTATTGGTGGAAGGTCACTAAAGTTGGAATTATTCTGAGATAATCGATAGTTAGGATTATTATAAACGAACAGGCAATAGTTGAGATTATTACGATCAATTTTTCCTTTTTAAAATAGAATTCTTAAATTGAAGGTCTAAAATTGTCATACACTTCTTTGTAAAAAGGCTCTTCTTTGTACCATCCTTGAATTCTAGAATTCAATTCTTGGATTGCTATGATTTTTCAGCTTTTGTTTTTAGACATCTATTTCTTAGTTCTGAACGGTGCAGAAGTACTTTGGAGGTCTCGGAGATCAACTCAGTTATCCGGAAAATGTGACTGAAAAATGAAAAACATTAATGGAAAGATGAAAGAAGAAATATGAGCAGCATCACACAAGAGTCTTTTTTGAAAGAAGAGAGTCCTTTTTGAAGTACTTTTGGAGCGTCACATACTCAAGGAGGGCACGGCCCCAACCTGTTATCTGTCATCACCGCCGCCCCGGACATCTCAAACAAATACGAGTATCCGATCACCGTATGAACTCGATGAATCCACGTATTTAGGTTCCCCGTCAAATCATCGCCGGATTCTTCCGAACCACCACACTGACGCCCTTATTCCGTCTGTGTGCATCCGTCTTAGCTATTCCCGGAAAAGCTCCCCTCCAAACCCCGCACTCTTCGTTTCTTTCTGCATTCTAAGTACCAAGTCCACCGGAGCTGCTCGCTCCCCTCGAATCCCGCCTGTCCGAGTCATTTGACCTCGTATGCGGTCAACTATACGCCACTTGGATGAGTTGGATTCTCCGGCTCGGTGTTCCTTGTCCTACCCGCAATTTCTTTCGAGGTTTTGCGTGTGAGTGCTTCATAGCTGGCCAAACGTTACTTCTGTTATTGTACTCTCCTAAACCGATAATTGACATCTTGATTTCGTGGCTTAGCTTGGGGATCTCAGTTTCAGTGTGAATATTTTTGCTGGTTACACCATAATCGCAAAATCCATGCCTAATGGCACTGTTTGTATGATCCTTTATCCATTCGTTCTGATTTTACACAGATGTGATATTTGCTAGTCAATATGGACTTTCATCTGCCTTTTGAAGTTGGTCAATCTGCTGAGGCAAAATCTTTCCAGCAAGGATACCGTGGCGCATGGTTTCGTTGCAAGGTAGTTGTTACGATGTTTATAACCTAATTCAGTGATCTGGTTGATCTCAAGATTGTTCTATCTTAGCCTAAAATGTTAGGAATCTTAAGAATTGCTAGTGGCTCATTGTCTCAACCGTAAATGCAGTATTCTCAAGGTTGCAGAGTAACATTTTGAATATTTCTTATGGAAAGATTCATAGTGTCACAGTTACAAGTTAAAAATAATTCTCTTAATTTTAGTCCTTTATGTGTTCATCACATTCAGATATCCTTTTGTGCTGATGGTCTGATTTTATGTTATTTTTTTTAGTTTAAGAATTCACATCATAGGGAATACATAGTTTATATGCAAATGTGTGTGACATAGAATTACAGAAGTGTTTATGTGTCTTCTTCTGTTTTTATATAACTTTCTGTTTTAGAATTACAGAATTCAGTTGGCACTCTTGTGTATGGTCTGCATAAGGTTATTTATATCTTTTCCAGGATCTGGTTTTGGCCTTTCAATGCATTTAGATATCTATGCCTTTATATTTTTGTCTCAGATAAGGGAGATAAAGCAAAGTCATGGACATTGGAATGCCTTGTTGGAGTATTTTGATTTTCCTGATGAAAGTAAGTTATACTTCCATAAATGTTCACTCATGAATATTTACCCATCAGGTCGCCACATTTTATTATGGTGTCTGATTTATGAATTTTGTTTAATGCAAAAGTCACTTTATTTTGATGGAATCGAATCCTCTACTTTATTCATCAATGGGACATTCGTGTTACATAGAAAGATATATTAACTGTTAGCTGGATTTGATAGGCATGAATATTTGATGCTATCAAGTTCTAAAGGGAATTTACAAATCCTATTTTTTCTTTCCTTTTAACCTTTCAACTATTTTTGAACTTTTCATTGCTGTATGTTCAGAAAAACGAAAATGTAGAAATGCATAGGTGGATACCATATTAATTACGGAGTATTATTTATATAGAATTTTATCAATCTATGACCCTAAAGATTGATTATTATTAGTACTGGTTCAGAAAGACCTGGATGGTTGAAACTATCAAACAAAAACTAGACAACTCATTACTTTGTGGCTTTGTGCTTTTCATATATTTAGTATTTAATCCTTGAAGAAATTTTCCATTAAATGAAATAATAGTAATTAAAAAACAAGATTTGATGTTCATGATTTTATTTAAAATGTTCACGATAATTGGGTCTAAGATTGACAGTGTCAGTCCGTCAGAGCAATATCATTGATAGATAACATATATTTTTGGTCTTGAATTGATAAAATTTCTATTCACATATGTTTAATTTGTATTATATATGGGCAGAGTTAACAGGGTTAAGACTATATCAACGTCCTCCATCTGGTGCAAAGTCAAAGAGCAGTACAAGGCAATTGATGTTGCGGCCTTCCTATCCACCAATCATCCGTGAAAGTGAGATAGCCAAAGAGAGTTTGAGAACAGAAGTGAGAGTCATTATTCAAGGCGCTTGGCAGGTGGGAGATCTGGTGGATTGGTGGTCTAGTGGCTGTTACTGGTCTGGAAAACTTACAAAATTAATTAACAATGTTAAAGCAAGGGTAATTTTATCATTATTATTTTAAGTTCACCCATTCTGTCTTGACACAATTTTACTGTTCTTATATCAGTAAATCATTCTAGTGGTCTAGGTGCATTGTTTTTTTTGTTTATAGCTGATCCAATATCATTTTCTGTGACATCTTTTTTTTTTTTAATTTTAATGCATCAGATTGAGCTGTTTCCACGTCCCGTTGGTGAAGGTACATCTTATGAAGTGCATGTCAAAGATTTACGTCCATCTTTAGATTGGTCTCCAGAGCTTGGTTGGACTTTGCCTACTTCTCTTGTTAGTTCTCTAATGTCTTCACCTCAATATTGGGCCTGTTTGGAGCTCAGAAGATGCTAAGCGAAAGAAAATGGAGATGAAAGATGGGCAAATTTGATGGAAATAAAACATCGGTTGAAGCTCAATGGGTTTATATTGGATATTGACCAAACTTATTTCTTAGTTTATTTATTTCTATAATATATAAACTAAGAAATTTAAAGTTCTAAGTTAAAGTAAAATTATTAGAAATTTCATCATTATTTGCTTTGCATTTCTAAGGTAAAGCGAAAATGGATAAATAATTTTCCTCTGGCACCTGTCCTTTCCCTAGCATCTCCTGTGGTCCAAATTCTCTCTTGGCACACTGGCATGCCTATTCATACGTTTGTGGTATTTCCTCATATCTAGATGATATGTCCCCCCTTCAAAATTTTAATCATCATAAATGAAATCAATATAGGATGGTAAGAATGTCCATCCACGTGCTCAGCTTATCCAACCTATTAATAGAGGTATGTTTCATTTAATATGCTTTTACATTTCTGGTATGAGAATGTGACAAGATATACTGTGATATATGGGAATACTTACTTGCATGTGTCATGTTGCACACTAAAAGTTTGTTCATGTGGTAATAGCACTGCTGTATGTTGCCTTGTCAAGTAATCAATGATAGTCAGGTGGCAATCAAGTAATGCTTAGTTGGTAACCTCAATCCCAAGTCCCAGCTAAGATGGTGTCAGTGGCATGGAATCAACAGTGTTAATTAATCTTCTAGAATTATTTAATACCTATAAACTCATGAGAAAAGAATAATCAGATACATGTGCTCCAAACTTCCAAAGAAAGAATAATAAGATGAAATTCCAAAACTATCATTGTTAGTGGTGGATCCGCTGTTCTTTGACATTATTAATATGAACACCAAAAATGGAAAAAATGAAAAAAATGTAGGATTAACTTATTAAGTTATTGTACTTTGTTTTGTTTAGTGTTTCTTTTAGTTCCATTTAATAGTTTTTAAAAGATACATGTGAAATTGTTGCATCAAGCAAGTGAAACAACACTAATGCTCGAAATTTTAAGTGTAGAGTAATTTCGAACACTCAAAATATAGGGCTTTTCTTTGTGCGTTGAAAATATCATGAGATGACATTATGACAATGAGGTTATAATAGTTGCTATGATCATGCACTTTTTTACAATTAATATTGTAAAATCAACATGCACATCATCGAATACAATTGATGATAGGATATACACACAGTGCAATAGTTTGATTCTATATATACCTAATACCGATTGCATTTACACTATTGATGTGTTGGGAAAACTAGGAAAACAGTCCAGTCTGTCAGTTGATGTGTTGGTGTTACTACAGGATGGTTAACTTTTCCAGAAAGTGAGATTTGTTGTACGCACCCTATGTTTACTTTGACATTGCATCCCACATTTAATAACTTTTTTCTACTTAAACGTGAAAACAAGAGCACCCCAAAGTGGGGGTTAAATCAAATATTAGGTAAACCATGAAGGTGAAGTCTAGTAAAAATGACCTTATCTAGGTCGAATTTTCAACTAAATGAAGCATCTGGGGCAAAGTAAGATACTGGGGTAAAACGTAGGTGCATTGACCAGTTTTCGCTTAATTGTTCTAATTATTTTTTCAAATGAATTGTCCCTTTCTAATGGTTCCTTACTTTTGTACCAAATCGATAATGTAGAGATATATCACGATGAGGATGAGGTTTCTATGGATCTTGGTGGACATTGTGATGTACACAGAAGCTCCGAAACAGAAAAGGAGATGAGAAGCACATTGGAATCAGATACACATATATGTGAGGATTCTGGTAACAGGGAAAGCAGTGATGCTGCCACTCAAGTTGATGGCCAAACTGATGAAGACCTGTATTACGCCACGTGTCCGTTGAATAAGTTTAAAACAAGTGGAGGAGTCCGCCTAAATTCCATGAGGTCAGACACTTTGGAAGCTGCTGTAACGGATTTGGAGGAACTGAGAAACAAGATTAAGTGGCTTAAACAAATATTGGAATCTGGAAAACCGCAATCTAATGCTCATGACTCATGGGAGTTTGTGGAACAACGTGCATCGTCTACCCCTAAGTGATGGGTTTCAGAAAGTTTAAGTTTTTTACATATTTCCGCCAATGATGTCTGAGATCTTACACCTTTAATTTCTAGGTTCTACTATCAGGCAGGGTCGCAGGCATATGCATTTTAGCATGTGTTTGGATTCCACTTTTGGAATCTCTAAAGTTTTTCTGATTGCTTTTGATTTTTCAACAGGTTGATTTAATTTTTTATAGTTGAGAGAGGATATTCTGGAAAGTTCTTAAAAGCCTGTTTGGCGAAAGCTAATCTGAGTTGTTCTCAAGCAGTAACTTGTACTCTTGAAACAATTTAGTTCTTCAAACAACACTTAAGGTACCTTTCTAAGAACTTTTACTTTATCATACTCACTTTGTCAAGAATGTATCTAAACCCAAATCCGACATCCTTTAGTACCTTTCAAGAATGTTTCCGCTGTGCAACTACGCTCAATTGTTGCCCCAAGTATGTAGATAATTGGTGGGGATCTGCCTAGCATATATTAATATTGGAAATCTATAGGATCTTCTCTTCTTCCTTAGAGTTTTTTGCATAAAGGACAAAATGCCAAAAAGTAAAAACATAAAGCCACTGTTCTGAGATTAAAAGGCTTATTCTTCAATCTTCATTAGTTCATCATACAAGAAGAATCTTTCATTATTACATCATCTTTTTGCAAATTCGGAGCAGCTTATTAATTGCATCATCAATCACTATATCACCTCTCAACCTCATCATCTTACTCAATTCTTTAGCTTTGCACTCCATTGAAGTTGCTAATGCTTTCCTGTCCTCCTCCATCACAAACTTTGTCAAGGCTTTTGCCACTTCCTCCCTATTTATCTCACCGTTCTCCCCTTTCATCACCTCTACCCCAACACCAATCTCCTCCACCAGTCTGGCATTTAAGGGCTGGTCAAGATGTAATGGCAAAGCTATGATTGGGACTCCACACGCCAAGCTCTCCAGCACACTGTTCCATCCGCAATGACTTAAAAATGCGCATATTCTTTTATCACGCAAAATCCTTCCCTGTGGAATCCATCCTCCCACCACCAATCCCTTGTCTCTCACCCTTTCAAGGTAGCCTTGTGGTACAGCGTCCTCGACAGTCATGTTCACACCAACCGGGAATCTAAGTGACCATATGAAGTTGACTTTGCTCTGCTCTAAACCATGAGCTATCTCTTCCACTTCACCCTTTGTCATGCAATACTCACTTCCAAATGATGCCAATACGCATGAGGATTCTTTCTTCTCTTGTAGCCATTTTGTTATTTCCTCGTGTTCGTCCTCGTCCATTTCCTCTCGGATTAGGGGCCCGATCGGGAGGACCTCTTTCTTGGTGAGAAGCGAGAGATAATCGATGTACTTGGCCTCGATCTCGCTACAAGTGTTGATCAAGATGATGCTGTGAGACTGTTGGAGAGCTTTGAAGCACAACCCTGCAATGTCCACAGTTTCTTCTGTGGCTATGTTTTTATATTGCTCTATATATTTATGTATCTCGTGATCTAGGTAATGATTAGCGGGAAATGGGAGCTCAGACCGGCTCTCGTTCACATGGTAGTATAAAAAGTGGGTCATAGTTACCGCTCCCGTGGTGAGGAGATGAATGGAGGGAATGTTGAGGGATGAAGCTTGAGAAGCCGCCCATGGTTGGAAGCCATCGTATATGAGCAAGTCGGGATTTAGAGTTGAAATGATTTCACAGAAGGCTCTCTCTGTCTTTTGAAATGCCATTTGTAAGGTTTTGGCAAGATGGGGCGGCAGCACAGAGGTGATATGATGGTTAGGTGGAAGCTCCGGCGAGGAGGGGAGGTGGAGTTCAATAAGATGTACTGAGGAAGAGAGATCAGGGTGTTGTTTTGCCAAGATTTCCCTGATCGATTCAAGAATGATCGGGGAGGAACAAAAGTGGACTTGAAAATTTCTTTTGGATAGTTTCTTGGCTAGCTCGAGATAAGGGGTAACATGGCCTTTTGCTATCCATGGAAACAGTAGAACATTAATAAGTTTTTCTCTCTCCATATCCCAACCCTCAAGTTAAGCCCTCTCTCTAACTCTCCTTCTAAGGCAATTCGTCTCCTTTTATAATATGGTTAATAGTAAAAGAAAAACACAGGTAATTATTCATCCGCTATAAGGAGTGTGCCTGAATTGACGATTCAAACCGGAAAACCTAACCAGACTAGACCGGAAAAACTAGAACTACATTGAATCATGATGATATCCGGCCTTGTTTTCTGTTATGAAATGATATACTTTCGGTTTCCGATTAAAAATTTGATTATCCTGGTATGAACCAGATTCAACCGTTATTGTTATTTATTTAAATATATTAAATAATACTAGTACTAATAATATAAAATAGTTATAATAAACAACAATCTAAATAATAATGATTATAATATTAATACATGTGATCATGATGTCATATTCTTCAATTTATTGTTGTTGTCTTGATAATAGAAATAGCTAATATTTGTTACACTACACTCAAATTGCTCCGATCTTTTGAATATGAAACTAATGAAATTAAATAAATAATAGTAATAGTATATGGTTAATAAATACTCGATCTTTACCAATATAGTTTTTATTAGTTGTATTTTTAGTAAAAAATAAATAATTTTGAAATTGGGTTTTCTAATCTTGTTCCGTTGTTGAACATGTTAAACACATACGATTTCGAATAAAACCGAAAATATATCTGATCTGATTTTTGGTATTTATTTTTAAAATCCGATTTTGGTCTAATTTTGAATTGTTCCGATGCTCCTATTTGTGTATCCATTTTGTCCAAACCACTTGAAAAAGATATTTATTTTGAGTTTTAAATTAAGATTTTTATTTTTAAAAAATATTATTGAAATAATTTTTTTATATAAAAATATGACTATCAGATACTACCTCCGTCCCGCTATGAGTGTCCCATTTTACTTTATCGGTCCGTCCTACTAAAATTGTCTCATACCAAATTTGGTAAAGTTTGTGTGGCTCAAAAGCATTCTTACTTTATCAATTCAATATCAACCACATAAACCAATTTTTATTAATTTGCGTGTCACTCTCTCTTGTCCCATTGTTAGCGGAACGGAGGGAGTATTACATAGTACAATAGTATATTATAGGGTCATGGACTCATGGTCATCATAGTGTAATAAATTGAACATAAATTACTATAATTAGGTTATTTCTATATAGTCACTACATATAAGAAGTCATATTCCGTAACAATATTTATAATCATTTTAGTCATAAACATGTAATTATATTTAAAATTAAAAGCGATTTGGATCTTTTTACCTATTTTCTTGGAAATGATATACGTACTATTAGGGAAACATATAAAATTCAGGAACTAATATCATTATTCAAATTTATTTATTTAAATGTCGAGGGGATGAAAGAATTTCAAGGTACAATTGAAATGATTTCTTGATTTTACATACTACCTCCTTCCCTTAAAACTTAACCAAGTTTGATCCAATTTACATCCTCCCAACGTACTGTCCGATCGGGGTTGGGGGGCCCTCAGGGATGGGGTGTCATCCTTTTAACCAAGTTTGATCATCACGAAAAGTAATAAATTAAAAACTATGAGGATAAGATTTGTTCAGATGAGATAGAAATAAAAGAAATGATAAATTAGTTGATTAAAGGAGAACATAGCAAAGATTCTTAGAGCATCTCCGATGTTAAAACGTTAACGGTGCACACGTGACATGAGAAATAACCAATTAAAAAACAATAAATAAAATATCTTTATACTTATTTGAAGGATCTTACATCATTTTGGTAAGTTTTTCTTCACAATGTCAAACACAATGTCTAGATGTAGACATTGTGTTTGACATTGTAGACAAAAACTTACCAAAAACACATAAGACTGTGGAAACAATAATAGAGAAATGTTATAAAATCAATATTTTGTGTCTATCTCTCTCATGCCAAAAATAAAAAATGATAAAGTTTTAAGAGACAAGTGCTTATGTAACCTTTTCAAACTGTTCAAACTCGAGGTCTGAATTTTAATCCTTGTCCTCCAATTAAGTAAGGTACAAGAGGAATCCGTACGGGTAGCTCAGTTGGTCGAGTGGTGGGAGATTTGGAGGTACGAATCCCCGCAGCGATCGGGTGGAGGTCACAGAACCTGAAATAAGACTGGGCCACCGGTGCGCACGGGTGTATGAGCCTACTGTCATTCTGTTGACTGAGTCACCGTGACTAATCTCTCCACCATCATGTCGGGTCGGGGTGGGGGGCTCCTGGAGTGGGAGATTCCACCTTTTTGGAACAAAGTAAGGTACAAGAGGATCTCAATCTCCATTCTTTGGGGTGTAATGATCACGACATATATATGTCATTCTAATGTATGTAAAAAAACATATACAATGAAAACTTCGTGAACAAACAAACGATACTATAGTTGTGTCACGATGAGCTCATGCATTCAATAAGGTCAGTATTTCAAGGAGTTAATGTTTAATTAATTAAACACATTAATTAAAAAAAATTCTTTAGCATCGGCTCATTTTGCAGTATGCTCGGACACTCGGTTTGTGAAAATTATACTTTTCCTATTATTCTTTATTTAATTAAATACTCGTCTGAATACAAACGATGCTCATTTTGTTTCGGAAAAAACTCATTTTGCATTAAAAATGCTCATTTCATAATCGGATGTACTCACTATAAGGTACATCCAATATTATATGTAGGTGGCAACTCCGGTACCCATTTAAAAAATGGGGTACTGTACCTACCATTCATTTGATTGGTCCAAATAGGTATATCATTTTTAATTTAGACTTAAATAATTCAACTGCAACACTTTCATTGGTTCATATGGACAAAGGTATGGTACCTTATGGTACCATAGAATCTAGAATATGATGATAGGAAAAAGTCAAGGTAATTGACATATTGTACAATGAGAGATCAAGTCAGCATGTAATGTGAGTGGTCTCAATTTGTATGATGACAACTCAAATTGTCCTAAATAAGAGTGCAAAAAATAATTAGGAGTACTATATTCCTCCGTATTACTACCATGAGTTGGACTTGGGGTACACACTTTTTACACATGTCTGTGTAAGGTTTTTTTTATGTCTGTACAGACATAACGTATTTTTAAAATACGTTATGTCTGTACAGACATAAAAAAAACCTTACAAAGACATGTGTAAAAAGTGTGTACACCAAAAAGTGTGTACCTTTAGAATTTTTCTACTACCATACACAATATTACGTCAATGATACTATCCTATTCATGTCACATAATGTCAAAATAATGTCAAAATATGGTAATGTGATTTCAAAATTGCCGTCCTTCTATACAATATTCACTTATATTCAATTTATTAAGAGTAAATATGTTTAAGAAGTTTTATTAAGATCAAAATAATTCAGACCAGATAAAAAAGATTCAAATCATAGCAGATTACAAGATTCAAATCAGATCATTTCATGTGAGTAAATACATGGGAACTATAATATTGAAAAATGTTTCCCGATAGAAGATGGATTTATTATAGATGAAAACTAAAATTTGTACACATAGATCAACACATACACGTTTGTGTGTGTGAAAATATGTATCTCATTGATAGAATGGCACAAATATGACACATAAAACGTTTTAAATTAGGCATGCTCATGCATCATAGTTCAAGATATGATAATTCCATAAAATATTTACTAGCATTAAAAATAAGAAAAAGAATTTCTGATAACTTATTTTCCCGTAAACGAACGGAGCTTGATAATATAATTGTGGATAGAAAAAGCATGTTTGGAAATTACTACACTATTACTCTAAAACTGAAATTTGAATGGATGGATAAATATATGGTAAGTTTTGTTTTTGTCCTTGCTAAGAATGCTACCATCAAAGGGATCAATCTCTTTTTCTGCAAGTCATTCTTGATGTACTTCATTTTGGGGTATTCAATTTGTACACCATCATTTTTGTGGTTGACAAAAGGTTATTTCATAAATTAATTGTCCGATTATTATGAATTGCTTTTCAATGAGATACCCAAAAGTATTTATCTTTTTCTTCTTTACTCCTTTTCACTGTTTGAGATTGACCGAAGCGAAGTTGCGGAAATATTAGTAAATACTATGTACTTCCTCCGTTAACAATGCAATGAGACAAGAGGAAGTGTCACGTCAATTAATAAAAAGTGATTTATGTGGTTGATATTGAATTTATAAAGTAATAATGATTTAGAGCCACACAAACTTTACCAAATTTGGTATGTGACAATCTTAGTGGGACGGACCGACAAGGTAAAATGGTGCAATCATAGCGGGACGAAGGTAGTAATACATGGGGCAGAACGTACGATAAAAAAAGTTTTTCTCTGGATTTTCAACTCGTCTGCTGGTGACATACGGGTGTACACAAAAGGTGTACACAAAAGACGTACGCCACACATTTTTCTTTCTCAACTAGCCACTCTTTCTCGAAAACAAAGGATCCCTCGGTCAAACAACGACTATATTCTCCATATTTGAACCCATTCATCAAATATGTCATTGGTACTATCAACAATAATCTAATATGCCTGCCGCATAGTGTACGCGATAGAGATTTTCGAGTACAGTACAACATGCCATGAAGGATTAGAGCATGTGCATGTATGTATCTGAAAAGGCAATTCAACACTGTACTATATATTTCACGACAAATTAAATGATGTTTTGTACCCATGATTTCATCCACCACCCACCACTCCAACGAACGAGTAAGTTTAAATAGTGGAAAATGACATCTCTGGACATTGACTTCGATCAGCTTACACATAGTAATTTTGTACTAGTATCAAAATAGATGTAACAAATTGTGTGTTTGTAGAGAAAAAAAAAGGAATTCATGGGCACTCGTCTGTCCTCAGCAAACCAGTTGTCTGTCTGTTTAAGCAAGAAATTGACAAGCTAAACTACGATATAATTTGAGTAGGGAACGTGCAAGAAATTAATCTAAGAACTAGCAATTAGAATTTAATATTATATTGATGAATTTGATATTGAATACAAGAATGTCGGTGGGCTGT